CCCTCACCACACACACACACACACACACACACACACACACACACCAACGTCTGCAGTGAGAGACAGCACTGTTCATTACCTTAGTAACAACTTCACAAGAGCAGATTGCCAATGAATACCGACCAACTGTGTAAATCTGTTGAGACTGTGCAAAAGGATTCAGAGAATTCTGAGATGCCTTTGGCCCCAATAGTTCTTTCGAGGGCTTGGGAAATACGGCATGTACTGGGGGAAAGTTGCTGAGTTGGTAAGTCGGCGGGCTGTAAAGTGGGCCAGGGCAGCAAGAACCTGTGGGGTGTGTTCAGGCTTACTCTCTCCTTAGTGTGAGCCTGGGAGTGGCTCATGCCTCCTGTCCCCAGAGGGTGGGGAGCAATCACACTGGTGGCAGAGGTCACAAACTGAGTGAAAGGGTAGCACTGGGATATTGCCTTGGGATGAATGGGATTTCTTTAAGCTGTTGGGCAGAGGGGGGAGGAGCACAAGGAAAAGATTAGCTCTACGCAGGGACAAGGTATTTGGGCAAAAGGTTGGAGCCCGGATTTCCTGTTCCAGAATCAGTAGTAGCAGGGAAGATGCCAAGGTACGCTAGAAGCCAGTTCTGGAGAGCCTCGTCTACTAGGCTAAGATGTTTGGGTGTTACCTTGGCGTGCAGAGATACGTTTGAAGGATTTCGGGTTGCAAAGTGCAGGAAGCAGACAGTTTTGGTGATGAGAGGGGAGGGCGACTGTGGACAGAGAAGGAGGTTCTTAAAATAATCTAGGCAGGAACAACAAAATGAGCGCCCTCTTGATTCAGCCGAACTGAGTCCTGTGTGTCAGGCAATCGGGATTCAAAGGTAAGGAAAGTGGGGTCCCTTTGCAAGAAAAGGATTTGAAAACAAAATCACCTCAGTTGTCACGCTGTTAGCGAGAAAATTGCCGCCTACAGGAAAATGCTTGGGTGGTGATAGGGTGGTAGTTAACAGACGTTGCAGCCAGGTTGCAGGATGCTAAGATAGCAAATAGTAGATTTGGCCTTTGTTCACGATGAAATGAATTATACCCTCTGTTCGCTAGTAGCTTCTGCCAGGAGTTTGGTCTCTTTAACTGGTTTCCCTGGCTCTTTGCTTGTCCCCCCACCTACCATACTGTGTTCCCAGCACACTGCCAGGACTAGCCTTTTCACTCACAAGTCCAAATCATGTGACTTCTCTTCCCCAAACTCCACAGTGGCTCCCATCTCAGGTTATGAGCCAAGGTCCTCCCAGTGGTCCACAAGGCACCCTATCCATTAGTGCTCTGGTCTCAACTCCTTCATTGCCCACTCCACTCTGGCCACCCTTGCCTACTTGGTGTTGCTCAGATCCCCCTAGAATGCTCTCCCTTGAGGCCTCACCCCTGCGTGTCTCCACGTCAAATCTCACCTCCTTGAAGTCTGCTCAGATATCTCCCGACCATCCTATTTAAAATTGTAACTTGTCCTCACACCCCTGCCTTGGCCCTCCCCATACCTCTGACCCTATTCTGCCTGTTAATGTTTGTGACTTGAATTGATTTCAAACCCAATACATCTTTTATTACTACCGCTACTCTTACTAGTATTGTTCGTCATCAGACCTGTCCACATTGCCCCACCCATACGTATGCTGTTTAAAGGCAGGAATCTTCACCTGTTGTGTTAACTGGTGCATCACAAATGCTCACAATAGTGCCTGGTACAAAGTAGAAGTTAGTGAATGTTCGAATGCACTGTGATTTTCCTGCTATTACTCATAAGGCCTAGTTAACTACACTTCCCCACCCCATATTAAATGGGTTTTGGTCACAGGAGAGAATAGTTGATCCTACCAGGATCTAAATTCTCTGTATATTTTACCCAATTTTTTTTCTTCAAATGACCCATTTCCTCTGAGATTTTTAGAGCAAAGTTTTATGAAATGTGTACAACAATTAGAGAACAAAATTTGAAGTCCACTTTTCACATAAAAGACAGTTACTTGGCAGAAGGGTCCAATCATATTATATCATAGAGGATTTGTGCTCTGCAAGGCTGAAATGGACTTTACTATAAAAACCTGGCAATACTGGAAGATAAGATCCTCTGCTTCTGGAGCATACATTTCCTGGATGCATTTCAGTAATGCTTAACAATGAGCTCTGCATCATAACTGTCTTGAGGAATATCTGTTAACCCCCAATTAGGTGTGACCTTTACCATTCTGTTACCTCTTAATTCTGGCACTAAACACACACACACACACACACACACACACATGAAACAAAAGGGAAAATATGGCGGAGAAATAGGTGGAGAAAGAATAATTGCATAAAAGGACCACAGTTTGGGGTGGGTATTTTTGTACTGATTTTTGTCACCTCACCTGCTTTTCTTCTGTGCACACGCATATTAGAACACTCATACGCTCTCACCTCCCTCTGCTCCTCCATCAAAAACAAAGTTGTTGCAAGAAATTTAGGAAATGATCGTAGAGATTGTGGAGATGTGCAGGCCTTTGGATAACTTCAAATTACATAGCCTGCCATCTTACAAGTAACTTGCAAAGGTGAGTTGGGGGCTCTTTAGAGTCTCAGATGGAAAAATTCCAGGAATACTGTGTGAATGGGTTTTTCCCGCCCTCCAAATGAGAAAGTTCCTTTTTCTGAAGAGCTGTTTCTACACCTTTTTATTGCATTACTCATTTCTCAATGGGTTTATTATGTGCAAGATGGGCAAACATTGGTTCTTGAGAGGCCAAAAAAAACACCCCAATTTATGTATAAAGGACGTATGTACACACAGTACATAAACAGATATACAATATAGCTATGGTATTAAAATCTCATGGAAGGGCAATTAGGAAAAATCTAAAGAAAGTCCTAGGGGTGGAAGCCATAATTAAAATAATAGTTGTTACACCACACCACTCTGACCTAGACTCCAAGGCACCAGCCTAGGGCATGAGTGGCTTGTTCTGGGCGTTCATGATTTTGTATGAGGTCTGGAGGAAGTTGTTTTGATGGTTTAGTAGTGAGCTGTGTCCAGGGGCCTAAGTCTGTAAGGAGAACAGGTGGATCCATTTGATGTGTCGGGCTATGGGTGAACAGACAGAATTGCTCAGGTTCCCTGGAATCCTGCAGGGCTGAGTGGAGGATTTGCTGGACTCCGAGAGACTGGCAGGCAGGAGCAGCATTGGGGAATGTGAAGGGCGTTTGGAATGTCCCACATAAGCCACCTCCCCGAGAAGCAGCACATCCCCTTTTCTTTTTGCTTCTGCCATTAACATAGGTCCCTTTGCATTGGTCATTTGAGCATAGCTGAATGCAGCAGCTGGCGGGACAGACCTGTGGCTGCCGAAGATCAGCAGCACTCTGTCAGCCCTTGTGAGGAACAGAATGGTGGCCACACGTGGCTTGGACATAGCTGCCTGTGCCTGCAGAATTTCTGGAGACCACTCTTTTGAGGACTGTGGTCATGAGCCCCCATGAATGTAGCTTTCAGAGGGTGAAGTGGGTTTCCTTTAGCATCTCCGTAGACGAAGACTGAATTTTAAAATTTTATTCAGTCTGTTTCTTTAAGTTTATTTATTTATTTTGAGCGAAAGAGTGGGGGAGGGGCAGAGAGGGAGGGAGAGAAAGAATCCCAAGTAGGCTTTACACTGTCAGTGCAGAGCTCCATCTCCTGACCCTGAGATCGTGACTTAAGGCAAAATCTCAAGAGTCCGATGTTTGATGGACTGAGCCACCCAGATGCACCCTTTAAGTTTCTTAAAGCTTATGTAATTCCTTAACATCAGGAGAGGAAAAGTTTGCCCAGACTTGCCAAGTACCTCAGACATGGCACTCATACAGTCTGTCTCTTGGGGTTGTGAGGAGCTTGAGGGTTGAACCTATTACCTTCATCTGTGTCTTTAGCACTTAGTACGGTATATGACATTTGGGAATTTTGCATTAAATTTTGTGATAAGACAGTGGCCTTGTATGTGGAAGAGGTGACTGGTAACTGAAAATTTGAACATCACCGAAGGACAAATGCTGTAATCTTCTATTTTGGCTCAAGTCAGACTACAAAGGGTCCTTACCGTAGAGTTTAGTTGTGTACCTTAATATTTATTAGGTTACTTTTAAAGAATATTTTCATTAAAAAATTCTGAGTGTCAACTAGGAAAAGATAGAGTTGAGGGTAAATTGCAACATGTAAGACAAAGATTAATCTCCTTAATACATAGAGTCTCTTTTAAATAAGTAAATAAGAAAAGAACATTCAGTTAGAGCTTTTTTGCCTACATTAATTCATAATTAATGTTTTTAAAAAGAAAGCTTATGAAACATATTCAAACTCATTAAAGGCATTATGAAAGCTTCCCATTTTGCCTATCAAATTGACAAGGATTAAAACCTGATCGCTGCTGTTAGAGTGATGGGAAACAGGTATTCATACCTCTTACATGGGAGTGTAAATAATCTATAATCTTGGGGTGCCTGAGTGGCTCAGTCAGTTAAGTGTCTGACTTTGACTCAGGTCATGATCTCACGGTTCTTGAGTTTGAGCCCTGCATTGGGGTCTGGGCTGACAGCTCGGAGCCTGGAGACTGCTTCAGATCCTCTGTTTCTCTCTCTCTGTCTCTTTCCCTCCCCCACTTGCATTCTGTCTCTCTCTGTCTCAAAAATAAATAAACATGAAAAAAAATTTTAAAAGTAATATATAATCTTTGGGAGGATGGTTTGGCAACACAATATTTTTGTGACTCAGCACATTCTTTCACAAGAATGCTTATTGCACATTTACAAAAGAGAAATTATAAGCAGCCTGCATGATGAGGAATAAGGGACTAATTAAATGAGGTAAACACAAATGATGGATATTTGGTCATTAAAAATCAAGTTTGTGAAGTCTAATATCATGTAACTGAACTAGAATCATAGAAAACCATATCTATAGTATATGTTGTATTCAGAAAAATGTATATATTTTCGTAATGTTAATTATATGTATTACTGGATCAAAAATTACAGTTCTTCTTGATACTTTTCAAAATTTCCTGTTTTTATAGTAGGGCAATATCACTTCCATAATCAGGAAAGTTATTTTATAATACAAAGCACAGTCTGGAAGTGAGAGCGATCTTAGGTACTTAATAGGTTACCCATCACTATAATGTATTAATGATGACTTTTCTTTAAGGGTCCTTCCCCAGTGGTTACACAAAGAAAAGTAGTTTAGTAAAAAGCCCTTAATGTTTACTTTAATCACTATTAAATACGTTACTAAAACAGAAACAAATAGAAGCTGCGTGGAATTGGAGAAGGAGCAAGGACTTCTCAGGTACATAGTCCTGGGTTGGGATCCTGGTTGTAGCTGTGGGACCTTTGGTGTTGGACCTACAATTTCCCCATTTATGAAGTGGGTGTATTAACCATCTCTGTCCTCTTAGGACTGTCTTGGGAAGCAACTCGAGTAGCGTGTGGGGGACACTTAGCACAGAGTGTGACTCAGTGAACAGGTGGCTCTTCTTAGGGGGAGCAGCCTCGCGGGAGGAGTATAGCATTTCCTTTAAGAGATCCAAACTTGAAAACCATGTATTAGGAACTGATTACTCCCTTTACAAAGGATGACTATTGTGATGGTGTATTAATTTTCTATTACCTAAACTTAACAGCTTGAAGTGCAGACATTTATCATCTAATGGTTTCTGTGGGTCAGAAGTCTGGCCATGGCTTAACTGAATCCTCTACCGGAGGCTGCCATCAAGATGGTGAGTGGGGCAGGGCACCTGGGTGGCTCAGTTAAGCATCCGACTCTTGATCTCAGATCAGGACTTGATCTCACGGTGGTGAGTTCAAGCCCTGCGTTGGGACCTGCGCTGGGCATGAAACCTACTTAAGAAAAAAAAAAAAAAAAAGAAAGAAAGAAAGAAAGAAAAGGTGGTGAGTGAGGTGGAATCTCCTGTGGAGGCATCTACTTCCTTGTTCATTGGTTGTTAGCAGCATTCAGTTTCCTGGGGTTGGATGCAGGATTCATGGCAGCTTGCTTATTCCGAGCTAGGAAGTGGGAAGAGAAAGACAAGCACAGATGCTTGTAATAGCAAGACAGAGTCTTACCTAAGTCAGTGTAATTATGGGGATACCAGTCTGTTACCTTTGCCATATTGGTTAGAAGAAAATCACAAGTCCCACTGGCACTTAAGAGAAGGTAATCACGCAAACAGGTAAATACCCTAAAGGGGGGATCATGTGGAGGGTTGCTTTGCTACAAATGATATTGACATGTGTTCCATACACAGAAGCGAGTGCACTATTTTAGAAAGTGATTTGGTTGAGGAAAATACTGGCTTACATTTTATTTTATTTTATTTTATTTTTTTATTTTATTTTTTTTTTTTCTGGCTTACATTTTAATAACATTGATTGGAAAGCAAGATGAAACCACCCTGTGTTTGTTTGGGTTAACTGTTAAGGGCCAATAGTGCTGTCATCTGTGATTTAGAGGTTGAGGGCACTGCTCTCTTCCTTGAAAACCCTGGTTATCTTCCAACTCAGCCTTTGGGGATCTCAAGACTTGTTACTTTGTAAGTAATGGGTAATTGAAGTATTACTTCAAAGATGGTTTTTCTTTTCTATAATGCTGGACTTTCTTTTATTATTTCTGCACTCTTTATAAGTACTCATTTCAGCGAAAATAAACTTTGCCTTGTCTCACCCAGATTCATTGTTAAGCGTTAAACCTTCGTTTGTTCTCTAGATTGAAAAAAGGCATTTGTTTTGCTTTGAACTTGGCATTCTCAAATGAGAAGTGTGGCATTTTGTGTTCTCTGCTGGCCTCCCCCTCCTTGCACTGGCTCAGAGTTCTGATTAGTCAACTCTCCTCTGTATATGAAAATGTTGATGAATAATGCTAAGAATTGCATGGGTCTCACAAAGGCCCAAATGTGGTTGCTGTTTGAGATAAGTATACTGAAATACAGAATGTAATGTTTTTGGAGGTACATTTGTAATCCAGAAGATGAGGACGGGTGACTGATCATACCCACACCCAAGGGAAAAGAGGCCCTGATGAACATCAGAACTTTCGGGCTGTGAACAGATGTGCCAGCTGCCCCATTATGGTACTTCTAGGGGCTGCAGGTTGGAGTCTTGGTGACTGGACTCTGGAATATTTTATAACATGTATTTATGAGAGCTTAAGTGTATGGCTGACTGACCAAACTTAGCAAGGCACTGTTAAGTCCTGCACCATCTTACAGTGTAGAACTCCTGCATGAGGAAACATCAAGCCTCCCAACTCTCATATCAAAGGGACTATTAGTCCTTGCTGGACATATTCTGATTATGCATGGCATATGTCTTAGAATTCAGAACAGAGAGATGCTCAGCATTTTCTCTTCGGCCACTTGTTTGTCAGAACGCTGGATTAGATAACAAATCACTACACGTTTCCATTCTTACTGCAATATATTTGTGTAGTGCAAACCTTTTCAGAATATCTTTTCTTGGTTTCCTATTTTTTCTTGGTTGAATGAATGCATCCATGTTGTGGACTTGAGACAGTTGGTATTATCTCCATTTTATAGGTGAGGAAACTAAGCCTCAAGGATCTTCCAGGATCATGTCACACAGAAATAGTCAAGGCCACCTCGTCCCAAACCTCAGATACCTTTTATGAATGAACTGTGGTGAAGGGCGGGGGTCCGTTTGAATCCCACCTCTTCTCCGTCCCAGTTCTGTGACCTTGGACTGTCACTAATCTTCAAAGCCTCAGTTTTCTCATGTGTGATGTGGAGAGACTGCCTTCTCATAGGGTTATTAGGGTGAAAGGACAATGAAAGCATAGTTCCTAAACGTGGTGGGCACTCAGTTTATGGCACCCATTGATAGAATTGATTCTGCTCTTATTCTCACAATTTAGGTGTTGGTTGGGCTCCCAAGCCCATGGGATATAGGTATCTGAAATTCCAGGCCCATAACCCACAGTCAGTGAAAGAGAGAATGCTGGTGAATTCCTGAAGGTTACCCTGGATGTGGCCTGATCTCTGGGGTCCTGGATCATACTCTCCTACAGGAGAGTTGCCATGATGTGGGGTGAGATGCTCTGAAGGCAAGAGGATGAGCAGAGGATAGTGGAAAAAGTGGAAGGTGTGGCTTTTGGGCAAACTCTCAGATTTGCTATTCATATATTAGCGAATCATTTAAAAATTTTTTTTCAACGTTTTTTATTTATTTTGGGGACAGAGAGAGACAGAGCATGAACGGGGGAGGGGCAGAGAGAGAGGGAGACACAGAATCGGAAACAGGCTTCAGGCTCCGAGCCATCAGCCCAGAGCCCGACACAGGGCTCGAACTCACGGACCGCGAGATCGTGACCTGGCTGAAGTCGGACGCTCAACCGACTGCGCCACCCAGGCGCCCCTATTAGTGATTCATTTAAAGGAGAAAAAGGAGTAGGGAGGTATGATGGGTTTTACTTAGTGTGGCATCCAAAAAATTCTGAATTCTGACCTCCTGCCAGGGATTTGGATTCTAATTTGTCACTCGTACAGATAGCGCTGTCATTACTGTGTTAACACAAGAAGCCATCTCTTCTTACCCACTGTCAAAATCCATCTCGGGTACTAAGGTCGGTCAGAGAAAGACAAATATCCTATGATTTCACTCATGTGTAGAATTTAAGATACAAAACAGTTGAACATAAGGGAAGCAAAAATAATGTAAAAACAGGGAGGGTGACAAAACATAAGAGACTCTTAGATACAGAGAACAAACTGAGGGTTGTGGGCGGGGTGTTGGGTGGGGGGATGGGCTAAACGGGCAATGGGCATTAAGAAGGGCACTTGTTGCTATGAGCACTGGGTGTTATATGTAAGTGATGAATCACTAAATTCTATTCCTGAAATTACTATCACACTATATGTTAACTAACCAGGATTTAAATTTAAAAGCATAAATATAAAAAAGAAAACCCACCATCTCAGGGACTAGGAGCAAATATCCTGCTCTAATGAAGTCTGTGTCTTTTATGTGTATGCCAAGGAAGGTTGCTTCTGGAACTCCAGCATCTGGGCCCTCAGTCCTGTCCCTCTGTCTGTGAATCAGAGAGAAGGTCTACTCCTGGACTTCTGAGCAGATGTCTTTTTTAACCACTTTAAAAGCATTGTTGCCCTGTATCTGGATCTTCTTTTACTCATTCAAAAATAAAACAGCTCCTTTAAGAGGAGAGATTCCTCTGCTTTCCTGCATGAGTTCTGAGATGTGGTGCAGAAAATGAACTTCTCTGAGCTCTTTTAAATTTTGCGTCCCATAGCAAGTTATCTCTGCAGGTTTTTTAAAGCATGGCACTATATACATACACATGTGCCCACCAGCATTTAATGAAAGGCTACAATTCCAAGGTAAGACAGCTTGAAAGTATTCAAAAAACTAATCCGCTTTCTAACCTAACATAAACTCTGGGACAAGTTGCTTAAACTTTCCAAGTTACACGTAAAATAGGAATAAGAAGAGCTGCTACACAAATTTGTTCTGGAGAGCATACGCTCTCAGTAAAACATCAAATGTTAATTTACTTTATTTAAAAGAAAAATCCTGGAAGCCCTTGTTGCAGTGCAGCATTGTCATAACAAACTCTTTTTTCTTAATATAGAAAGCTTAGAAAATACAGAAATGAGGGGCGCCTGGGTGGCTCAGTCAGTTGAGCGCCTGACTTCGGCTCAGGTCATGATCTCACAGTTTGTGAGTTGAAGCCCCATGTCGGGCTCTGTGCTGACAGCTCAGGGCCTGGAGCCTGCTTTAGATTCTGTCTCCTTCTCTCTCTGCCCCTCCCCACTTGCTCTCTGTCTCTCTGTCTCTCTCTCTCAAAAATAAAAAAAAAAAAAATTAAAAAAATTAAAAAAAAAAAGAAAAAACAGAAATGCATAAATGTTCATTTCAAACTTTACCCTACAGAAAAATAATAAGACATCGTGATGTCTTTATTCCCTGGGGTTTTTTTTAACTTGAGATACTTTTGTGTGTGAAACATGTCATGCCAATAGAAGTCCATAGAAGATACATGCACAGCTTAAGGCTCACTAAATATGTGGGTACCTATCACTCAGTTGAACATCCAGAACATTGCCAGTTCCTATGAACCTGTGTGCCTGACTTCATTTATTTCGTTTTTAAAGATCAAGTTGGATTTATATATTTCATATTGTGCTCTTTTTCTTTATCTGCGTTTATCTATAATGTGATCATTTTAGGTTGTTTTTTTTGTCTTTGGAGCATAAAGTAAGCTCATGGACTATCCTTATTTTAATGATAATTATTGCTGGTAACCTAATATATGCCAGGCATTCTGTCTAAATGTTTAATTTTACACTACCCTATGAGCTGCAGTAGTTCCTCACTTAACCAATGGGAGAACAGACTTTCAGAATATTTAAGTAAATTGCCACATGATCTAACAAGCAACAGATCTGAGAATGGAGCCCACGTTCCTTGTCACTTCTATTCCCACCAGCTGCCTGATGTACTACATATTAGAAGTGCAATGCACATTGAAGGAATTGGCCATTAGATGTATTTCTGCCTAATTCTAAGCAAGAATTACACACATGACTAGGCTCTAGTTTTTAGATGGTGCTGGTGCCACAGAAACCCAAATGGAGGCAAACTTCAACAAGAAATGTGGGGAAAGGATAATTTCTTGATAACCTAAACAGTATCACATGCAGAAGGTCTGCTTCTATTTGGAGGGCCCCTTGTGTTGGGTTGTCTGGTCCTCCCCCTCTCTCCCGTTCCACCCCCATATTGTAGTGGACCAAAGTCTGGGCTTTTATGTTCTAAGTTGCCCTCCTGCTGT